ACTGCATGCCATGCTGGCCCCAACCCAGATGGGTCAAGCCAGCCATGTAGACCAAGCACGGCAGTGCATGCCTAGAATTCCAGCTCTAGGGAGGCTGAGACAGGAGGATCACTATGAGTCCGAGCTGCATGGCAAGACTCTATACCAAATACATAAATTTTTTTAAAAAGCAGGCATTTAAACTCCTACTAAATTAAGGAATTATGCTCAAATCATTCCAAAAAATGAATGCTGAGGTGTTCCTCAAAATTCATATATTAGAAACTCAATCCCCAGTATGGGTGTGCTGATTAGTTTAAGAGGTGATTAGGTTTTCTCTTAGGTGAATGGATTAAAACAGTTGTCCTGGAAATAGGTTAGTTACCCCAGGAGTGGGTTTCTAACAAAAGGGTAAGTCCAGCTTTGCCCTTCCCACCTTCTCTTGCCCTTCCACCACAAGATGATGCAGCTTGGAGGCCCTCAACTGATACAGCCCCTTAATCTTGGATTTCTCAGCCTCCAGAACTGTAAGTCAAATAAACTTCTATTTTTAATAGGTATATGCTGAATGTCACCATATATATTTTAACAATATTGAAAATAAAATATGAACTCATTAGAGCTGTTCCCTTCAGCTGGCTATGTCAAGTGGAACCTTCTGACAACTGTATCCTGGCTTTAATGTGACATAGTATTTTTCATTTTTGATGACAATTTTGATGACATCTAAACAACAAACTAGCAGCTGTAGATTCAGAGACACCAAGAACATTTATAGGTACATATAATTTAAGATTGCAGTCTCTGCTTCACTAGTTCTCTCTGTTTCCACCGATGAAATGCTTACTATAACATATACTTTTAAGGAGTACAAATGAGTGTTTTAATGCTTTATTTTGCTTTGAGTTTTTATGCTTTAATTTTTTATTTTGCTTTCCTAATGTACCTAATTGGTTTATTCCAGGGGTCTTACAAAGAAACCTCTATTTTCTAAATACTAAAAGGGCTTTATATCTTCATCTATTAAGGATGCGGTAACATCATACCATATACCAGATAACTTATAAACAAAAGAAATTTATTTCTCATGGCTCTGGAGGTCAGAAGTCTGAGGTCAAGACACCAACAAGTTCAGAATCTGCTGAGGGCCTCTTCTCAGGTCACAGATGCTCCATCTTGTGCACCCTCGTATGCTAGAAGGTGCAACTCCCTTGGGCTATTGTATATGGTACTAACCCCATTTAGGAGGCCTCCACCCTCATGGCCTAGCCACCTTCCCAAAAGCTCACTTCCTTGTATTTTAAGGAAAATACAAATACTCAGATCACAGTGGAGAAAGTGTGAAAGTTGATAGTGTGAAGGAAGAAGAAGGATTTCCAAGCTCAGGTCCCGGCTTCCCTAGTTCTATATCCATAGACACAGATGTGCCTCTTTTGCATCATCTTTCTCTTCCTCCTCCCTCAGCCCATGCCATATTTCCTAAAAGTACTCTATGAATTCATTGTAAATCTTATTTTGGCAGTGTTTTCTATGAAACCTATGTACTTAGCTCTTTTAGGGAAATATTTGAAAAATGTTTGTTCCTCATCTTAATTTATTAAGAATTGTTAGAATAAAGGGCAGGGAACAGAAGTAATCCAAACTACAATACAAAGAAACTGGCTTTGTCTTATAAATGTATCACAGAAATTCAATTTTTAAAGCAAGATTGAAACTCTGCACATATAATATGCTCTCTTTTCCTAGTTTTAAGAGGACTTCATGTAAATCAAGACTAACACTAAAAATAAAATCACAATGGCATACTTTAACTGGAGAATTTATCCACTTGTTCCTCTAAATAGTAACTTCTAGTGAATATAAAAACTTAAGTTGGGATGGGGAGGAAGAGAAGGGAAGAAAAAGAAGAAAGAAGGGGACAAACTTTCCAAGAACACAGCCATGACCAAAAATGAAGAACAGCTGAAAATGCATCTTGACATTTTTGTTAGAATTCTAAAAAGTGCTTTCCAAATGGAAAAGCATCTATCATTCAACTATTACTATTTTCTATTTCATACTCAAAACAACATGCAAACAAAAGAAAACACAAATTTCCAGATGACAAGAAAATGTGAGACCCAAGCAGCAGCACTTTAATCAACAACTCTTACCTGGGCACAAAAGACTGAGTACAGGGTTTGATTTAAAGGGGGTGAGACACCCATGACTCAATACAGACAACAAAGATGACTGTTCATTTCTCCAAGGATGTGTAGTTGTCTCCATGAATGAGCTTTTGATGGTCCTCCTCCCATTTTCATTCATTTTCCCCTGCAAAATTTGAAACATCACATGTAACATGTGGTACTGAGAAAATTGTGACGATCAACACAGTCAAAGAGAAGGAGATGATTTCCTTCTACCCCAATCTTGGCATTCCACCAGACCTTGGGGTCACTTGGTCTGAGAGCCTCTTCTCCTAGATTCCCAGTACTAAGCAAGGGCAGGCACACCTGTGCCACTTTCAGCAAGTTATTTGACCTCTCCATATGCAGATGAAGATACTCAGAGTTATCCACTCCCAGGATTATTGCAAGTTCTTACAGCCCTTGAAACACAGCAAATGTGCCCAAACCAGTTAGGTAGTATTGAATTAAACTGTTAAGCATGTCCCTATCAATTATGTTCTATAGAACAACTACTGTTGACCATGGACAGGGTCAAGTATTGAATTGGGGGGTTCTCCAAATTGCCCATCCTGAAGAAATGCACAGTAAAATGCAGAGATTTTTTTTTTTAAATCTTAAATGTGCTCCTAAGGGACTCTTTTTTTTTTATGTATTTGGTTGTTACAGGGTCTCACTATGCAGTTCGGACTCATAGTGATCTTCCTGTTTTCAGCCCCCCGAGTGCTGGGATTACAGGCGTAAACAACAATGCCTGAACTCTGTGGCCAGCTCAGCCTGCCCTGGGGGCAGAGCTGGCATACGTTGCCAGGGATTGAACCATGGTCCCTGTGCTTGCCTAAGGTTGCCTAAGCAGGCACTTTAGTCTGCTGAGCTATCTCGCTGGCCCAGGAACTACCAAGCACCATTTGCAGAGTTAAAATAAATTGTCCTAGAGTGGATAAAGTTGTTTTAAAAGATCCCCAGATGATTTTAGGGAACTGCTGACCTAGGGTGTGCCTATGAATTGCATGCCCGGTCATTGCTTATTATGGTCTGTTGGATTCTGATGTGATGAAGAGTTCCTGGGGTAAAGTGAGGTGCATAACTGTAACATCAAACAATATCCCCAAGAAGCTGGTTAACAAATTGGGGACAGAGGGAGTCTTCAATGGTGAAGCTTGGCTCTACCAACTGAGATGGACTTATTTTCAGTTTTAGTTGTGACAGGTAGAAGGGTCCCTGTGAGAGGAAGTAAAATGGCTCCTGCCAGTGGAGACAGGTGAGATAAAAAACCATACCAGCTCTGTCCAATAAAATATGACAGGATCAGAAAGTAGCACTTCAATTAATTTTTGCCTTTTATCTTTTATTTTCCTTGGTGCATTTCTTTCTCGCTGCTCACAAGATTTAGAAGTTTTGGGGCTACAATTCTTGCAATTATCTGAGTGAAGTCTGGAGTTCCTCAGTGACCATCCAGTTGAAACCACAACACAAAGCCTAGGCCTGTTCCTGGCTGGAGGCTGGCTAGCCACACAGTAGAATCTGAGATGACACAGAGGCTGGGAAATGGTCAGATTTCTTTCCCTGAGAAGAGGCAGAGGGCCCGATTCTGCCCAGGGGGCTAGGAGTTTCACAGGGTTAGTTTTCTAACCTCCTCCTTAGAAGAGGGGTTTTTAGCGGTCAGTCAGTGGACATGCTTGGTAAAGGTCACAGCACAGGGCAATCATCATGACTTCCAAGAGAACTAGTGATCATCTAAGGTGTTTTAGATTTTTTTAATTTAAAAAAATCATTTATTTATTTACTTACTTATTTATGCAGTATAGGGTCTTGCTACGCAGCTTGAACTCCTCCTGTCTCAGCCTTCCCAAAGTTGGGATTAGAGGTGTGTGCTACCATATCCAGTTGTGGTGGCCAGTACGGGGCACCCAGGATTCCAAGGCTGGCACAGCATTCAGTACCAGGGATGGAACCTGGATTACTGTGCTTGCCAGGCAGGAGCTTAGACTGCTGAACTACCCTCTCAGCCCCACTTTTACATTTGTGATGATTTTGAATTGTTTGGTTTACTTGGTGTGTGCTAGTGATCACCACCCTAAAGTGTACAAAGGATAACTTGCTTAACAACAAAAGGATCAAGCCCCCAAACAACTAGGAAAAGGAGGAATGGATATATTTTAACTCTTTCCACCCATTTCCTCCATCCATTCCCTGATCCCACCTGGTCAAACAATTGGATTCATTGTTTTTGGTTCAAGAACTCCGGAGGTGTTTGTGGTTAACAATCTACTTCTTAAATTTCCTTGCCACATTGAGATTGCTGAGAAACCTATGGGGAGAAAGCCTCTGAGCAGTGCAGAGCTGCTATGGAGACAGGAAAGTGTGGGAGCCACGACGCAGTCAGGAGAGCCCTTGAGGAAAACAGGGCTGCATCACACAATGAGAATGGGGTACTGTCCACTGTTCTGCTTTTATCCACTTGACCTTGCTTGTGTGGCTCTTGAAGAATAAATGCTCTGTTTGCTTAAGTTAAGCCAGAGTCACCTGGGTGTCTTTACGAAATCAGGAGAAGCTTCCCTAGCAGAACCCGTCATCGGGATCCCTCCCTCTTCAGGAATCCATGACTCAGGATGTGGGGGTTAGTAAAAGGATAGACCAGGAAACTTCTGGAAAAGGCCTAGGAGTGGATTCCAGACCACTGGGTGGGGATTCTGGTCACACAGGAAGTCCATTTTTCAAGAAAGAACTCAGTTTTCCCCCTTATCTTACCCATGTTGAAATCCAATGCAGTCTGGCATTTGGTATCTACATGGGTTACATTCTAGTATGTATTTGCGTGCTATTCTGTTAGCAACCTAATAAAAGCACAGGTGACTATTTTTGCAACCAGAAGTTAAGTGGCTCAGAAGCCAGCCTTTAATTACCACGCAGTATGTTTTGAGGTAGAAGCCTGCAGAACAAGCAGTGAGTGGGTTGTCTTCCACACTGCTCTACACAGAAGGTAGACAGCCCTGACTAGCCCTGGGGCAAGGCAGTTTCCGTCCTGTAGCACAACTTAACCTCAAACCAGTCTTGTGGGTGCCTGATTACAGTGAAAGCCCCACACATTATCGCACATTCCTTTGCTGCTTACAAACTTGTAATTATTTTGATGGTGTCAGCGTGAGGACTATGCGCCACCAGACCACCGGCTCCCAGCAGGAGGCGTTCGAGGGCTGTGTCTGCAAACTCCAGGTAGGAGGCGAAGGGTGCACGTGTAGACGCCTGCTCCCTCTCCTCAGCATTCTCCCATCACACATCCTCGCTTTGCACAGGCAGCAGTGTTCAGTGAAAGCATGGGCTCTGCAGCCACACTGTACAGGCTTATCTCAGCTCTGCCAATCTCTAGATAAACTGCTTTCTACACGTCATTCACCTCTCTGCATCTTAACTTCCCAATCTGAACTCACGGTAGTACCCATTTCATGGGATGGTTGGGAGAATTACGTATGAACTCACTCAGCACAGGTGAAGCATTGAGACCAGCTGGTGGCACACAGAGGCATGTCCTAAGGAAGAGCTAAGAGCACTGTTAATAAAATGGTGGAGGTGAAGTTCCCAGCTTTATTTCTGTCCACAGAAATCCAACTTGCCACTACCCACAGGCAAGAATGCCACCCCAAAAAGAACCGTTGTTACTATCCTGGGCCTGACTTAGGAAGAGAATAGGAAAAAATAGCTAAGTGGTGATAGCCTTGAAATACAGCTATTTGCTAGACACTTAAATTGGACAGTGGACTTGGTTCCTCATTGAGTGTTCACTTATAAGATATATGTACTATGTCTGCAACTCTCTTGCTGCAGACCGCAATGGAGGGCCACGTAATCTACAGACCACGGTGGTGCGAGTGTGGGAAGGCAAGCTCTCATACAGGACGCACATCGTCAGACTAAAAGTTACACGGGATTCTTTGTATTGCACTAAACACTGAACATAAAGTAGCAAGCAGCACAGCGAGTCCTTGATCTCACAAAGGTTTCATTCTAGAAGAGAGAGATTTTAAACAATAATAGTGTCATACTTTAAGAAAGAAAAGTGCAGAGTACTAAACTGAATGTTGTGTGAGGAGGGACTGTCATAGAAAATCACGAGATCTGAAAGGTAAACAGGAGTTACACAAGAAGCATCAGGAAGAAGTATTCTAAATAGAGAAAAAAAACCACACACTATATGCAAAGACCCTAAAGTACATAGAGTTTGTATTTATGGAGCTGAAAAAAGACTGAGGACCCCTCAGATGAAGACTGAGGGAAGAGAGACAGCAGGAGGCAACGGAGTTGGCAAACATACACACTGTCATTTTACAAAGTGAAGGAGAAATATAGTTGGAGGTCTCCTCCATTTCTCCTGCCCACCACATTTTTAGCTACTTCATTTACAACAAGAAATTCTGTTAGCAAATCAAGAGAGCGCTTAAGCTGCTTACTTACATAAGACAACAGTTAAAAATATCTCTCTTCATGCTGTGGGTATTTCTTCAGTGGGTAGTTTGGTCTTTCCAGGATGTAAGTTTCTTCAGAGTTAGATTCTTCCTATAATGAAAACATCCAACAATTACATTGCCTGGAATGTAACAGAGATCAGTAGTATCCAGATGAATAGCTTTTTGCATATACGACTGTGCTTCCCATATATGAGATTTGCTATGTGTGGATGTAGATTTTCTCCCTCTCTTTCTTCTTTTCTTCCTTCTGTCCCCCCTCCTTTGTTTCTTTCCTTTTTTTCATTTTAAAAGGATTCCTTCAATTGGAAGAGAAAATATTCCCATAGTCATGATAACCAATATTCATTTATAAGTATCTTCCCATAAATCTAGCATATCCCAGTACTTAATTATAAGCCAAGATGACCAATTCAACTACATGGATGGTTAAATAGTAACCTTTCATTTTAATTCCTTTGAATTAAATTAGAGGTCACTTTGCGGTATGTCTGTCACAGATACGAAGTATTAGATATATCTATTGCTGGATCAGGAATATTCCTCAAACTCCACTAAAAGTCAAACAGTCAAAACCACCAATTTAAATTTTAGGAAAAATAGTAATTTTTTAAATCATTCATTTATTTATGTATTAGATACAAGATCTTGCTACCCAGCTTGGACTCGTAGTGATCCTCCTGTCTCAGCCTCCCCAGCACTGGGATTATAGGCATGCGCCACCACACCTGGTTTCAGGGCCGGCACAACACACCTGGGAACCCAGGGCTGGTGTGGAATGCAGTACTGGGGATCGAACCCAGGTCCTTACGCTTGCTACGCAGGTGCTTAGACTACCAAGCTATCTCCCCAGCCCCAATAAAATAAATTTTAGGAAAACATTCTTCCATATAGTGGTCTTACACAAACCACATGAACAGCAGTATTTTTCTCTGGACTGGGATTCCCATGCAAACAGGAAGGCAAAGTGATGCAGTCCAGTTCCACTGTTTGCTCCGAGTCCTTAGGAAGGACCCCCAGTTAGGACCACTGCTTGATAAATGCAGTGCACCACATTTGCCACTGCTCGGGCCTTAGATCTGCACTCCAGTCTCTGTCCCAGTGAGCCTGCAATGACTCCCAATCACTCAAATACCCCTACCACACACTGCTAAGGGTCTATCGAGATGCACTTCTAGGTGGAGCTTAGAGGAGGTGACCAGATCACAGGGGCTTGATATTCATCAGTGGACTAGTCCACTCATAAGTTTATAGCTGGGTATGATGCTGGGAGGTGAAGCCTTCTGGGAAAAGGTGGGTCACTATGGGCGTGGTCTCCGAGGTTTACATTTCTCCCTTGATCCTTTGGTGCTTTCTGCCGGCCATGCATGGGCTCTTTCCCCTCCGCCAGCCACTCTGCCTCAGAGCCAGCCCACTATGTACTATTTGGAGCCCAAATAAACCTCTCCTCCTTTAACTTGTGTACTCTTAGACCACCATATATTCTCACTGGTAAGTGTAACAATTATACATGTATTTCTGCATTTACTTGATTCATGTCTGCCTTACCTACTAGAATGTAAGTTCCAGTTTCAAATTACTTCACCAACACAGTTTATTTATATCAGAAACCCTAACCTTTGGGTGCTGTGGAATTCTGGGGGACATCAGACCACGTGCCCTTTCATGGATCTTCTTCCACATGGACTGAGAACTAGGACGGCACCTGTGCAACAAATTGAACACCGTGATAAGTTATGCAGCTATTAAACGGCACACCAACTTAAAGTATGGAAGAGTTGATGCTTAAAACTTGATTGCAAAAGAAATGGCATGAAAAATGGTACATATAGCATAGGAAAAGCACTGAGGAATAAAAATAACCAATATGGATTTGCTGGGGTTTTTTTTATGTATTTAGGACAGGGGAGCCAATATATTTAAAGTGATTTATGCTTGGAGGCTTGGCTAGGAGGTGTTCTTTTCTTTACACCCTACTGTGTTTTTTTTTCTTCTTTCTTTCTTTCCTTCTTTGTGTGTGTGTGTGTGTTTCCAACTGTTTCTCTAGTGAGCAAATCCTGCTTTCACATTAAAATTCTTAATCCATAAATTTTCATATTAAAATCAATCTGCTATTTTCTTCCACAAGAATTTTTCTTTTCTATCTCATTTACTTTAGGCCACCTGGACCCCAAACTTAACCAGCATTTTCTCTTTCGAAAGGCACTGCTAACACTACTCTCTCTTCCTGTAATGTTGCCACTTCCCAAGCCCCAGCCCTATTCTGATTAACTCCTACTCACCTTTCAGAGCTCAGTTCAATTGCTAATTTCTCAGGAAAATCCTTCCTGAGTCTTTTTGTTGTTGTTTTGAGATATGGTCTCACTATGCAGTTCAGGCTGGCCTTGAGCTCACTTTGTAGTCCAGGCTAGTCTCGAAGTCACAACGATCCTCCTGCCTCAGCCTCCCAAGTGCTGGCATTACAGGCATGCATCACCACACTAACCTTCCTGAGCCTTTATTTGAAGGGGTCAGATAACTTCTCACCCACATTTGGCATTATATTTACCTATACCTCAATCATAGTATTTCTGCCAGGGCATCCTGACATTTCTAGGTTAATGTATGTCTGAAATTGAGACTAAAACTCTGGTTAATAGTTTATCCCCTATAGATGGATGACTATTTTGTATCTGTATATTCAAAATGGTTAGGATAGACATATAATTACATTCTTCTAATGAATAGAGGGATTTGTTCTAATAGTGTTTGTAAATAGGATATCATGTCTGCATCTTGTACAACAAATAACCACTAGGAAGACAGTATGCAAAGTGTTAATTGTTGGAACTGTCCTACCAATTTGATTTGAAACTGTCTCATTACTATTTCTCAATAAAATTATTGAAAGAAAAAAGTTTAGCCCAAGGCATAGTTGGTATTGAATACCACAGTAGTATTTAAAAGATATTTGTTGAATAATAAATTCATTCATCCATTCATTCATTTGTATTCATGGAAAAGGGGAGAACCAAATCTTAAATTCTGAGGTATAACTAATAACTAATATTAAAAATTTACATAGGGGCTGGGGAGATGGCTCAGTAGGATAAGCGCTTCCCTGGCAAGCACAAGGGTCTGAGTTCAATCCCCAGTTCAAAAAAAAAAAAAAAAAAAAAAATTACATAGCATGGGGCCAGGAAGATAACTGGCAAGCACAAGGACCTGGGTTCGATTCCCAGTATAGCATGCCATGCTGGCCATGGGCTGAGCCAGCCACCAAAACCTGGCATGGTGGCACATGCCTGTAATCCCAGTGCTGGGAAGGCTGAGACAGGAAGATCACTATGAGTTCAAGCTGCATAGTGAGACTGTACTGAATAAATAAATAAATAATGATTTTTTTAAAGTACATAGCAATTTGCTAATGAAAAGCACAGATCTAATGTCCTTAAAATGTCTACAAGATTTTAATAATTCAGATGACACCATTATCATTTATTAATATATAACTAACATTGGAAATGGCAGGAGCATTGGGAATTGAGTTGCTGTTATGACTACTATACTAATGACTCCCTATGTGGCTGCCCGTCCCCTTGATTCTAGTCCCATCTGTCTGCCCACACAACTGTCTATGACAAGCATGTTTCACTGATGTCCAGGGAGACTCAAAAAAGGACTGGCTCCATACAAATTCATTGCCAACCGAGGAAAACAACTCAGCAAAATGACAGCATCCCCTAAAGCACTACTGTGCTGAAGAGAAGACCACACAGACCATTTCTATAATCCTCTAGTAACGTCTAAGATGATAAAAATATTTTGAAGTTATAAATTTACTATTTACAAACAGCCACCAGGTAGATAGTGTAGATACTTTTTCTTAGATTTTGAAAGTACCAAAGCAATTCCTACATTTGAGTGCAATGTAAATGCGTATATTTGCATATACTGTAAATATATACATCTGCATTATATGCATGATCCTGTCCACATTTAAGAACTTACTCTTTGAAAATGATGAGCCAACAGACAGAAGCAGTACTGTATCCTCATTGTCATTTATCCACATGGTTCCCCTTCTCATGCAGACGGAAGAATAAGTATGTGTGATGCAGGGAGGTGACAGTCTCCAAACAGTGGAGATGAGGGCATGAGCTTGGGAGTGTCCCTCCCTCCTTGGGGACTACACTGTCCCGGATAAAGGTCCTGCTAATGGGTTTTGTATTTCTTCCACTAAAACCTGGGGCTGATCATCACTCCAAAATTTGTCTCCCAATTCATCTCTATCACTTTGGCCCCTAGGATTTCAGAATCAAGCTAGAAGAACCTCGAGGGTGCTTCTCAGGCAGCTATATGCTCTTGGCATGCCGACTGGTCCTGATGATGCTGATGGGGGAGGAACAGAAGCGCGGAGACCTCCACTATTCCAGAAGCCTGCCTTATTATCTCTCTAAAGTCAATGCAGAATGAAGTCTTCCCCAGGCATATAAAGGGCATGTTCTTCCCTGGAAATAGCTGCCTTCAATATACTATCTCTGGGGCCATTCCTGTGGAGTTAAAGTTCTCCATCTTCCCAGGACTTTCTAGGATACAAGCCAGGTCAATGGTGAGACATGTTAGTCTCCATCATAGCAGATCGTGACCTTATTTATAAACTCAGAGTCCAAACATGTCCAAAGTTATCTGTTTAAAATGACTATGAAGGGCTGGGGAGATGGCTCAGTGGGATAAGCACTTACCTGGCAAACACAAGGGCCTGAGTTCAATCCCCAGTTCCGCAAAAATAAAATAACTATGAAAAAAAATAACTTTGGGCACACAGTTATCAGAAATAACTAATCACTCAGTGCTTGGTAGTCAGAATCATGTTCCTAAAGTTACCTTCCAAGCCAACACCTCAACTTGGCTTAAATGGTCCCCCTTAGACTGTTATGCCTGGCAACCAACACTCCCCCAAATCCACCTGACTATTGGAAGTTGAACCTGCTCAGCCTCCTTACTCCCAGCCCTCATCACCACTAGGTCTATCATAAACCAATCTCCGCTCTCCAGAGCCCACAAAAAAGGTCACCTCCTTGACAGGACATGCCTGAAGTGCCACTCTGCTCTCTACTCCAACAGCATTTATCTGTATAATCCAAGGAGTAGAAAGCTGCCCTGTAGAAAGCTGCCAGTGTACTTGTTTTCCCCACACACAAACTCTGTGCTGGGTTGCATATTCTCAAGAAATGATTAAGAAATGTTTCAAAAGTTAGTGTTTCATTTCAGACTTAGGAAACTGATTATTAAGTTTGTTCTAAGATACCTTTCTAACCATGTAGAGTCCACACTCACACATAATTCCAATCCCATTTAATTTTATGAGAGGTTTATTTTTTGGTTTTGATGCCAAGGACTAAACCCTGGGCTTCCAGCTCACTAGGCAAGCAATCTACCACTAAGCCAAATCCCCAGCCCCTCCCATTTGACTTTGACTCCAAAGATATGAAACAGTTTTTCTGCCAAACAGAGAAAAATCTGAAAACTGTCTAAAGACACCCAGAAAGACTGGGTGAATGCATGCATAAACCATCAAACAGATTTAAGGACAAAAGAGACCTCCCCAGACCTCCCTTCTGATAGAATTCTTCTCCTTTGCGCATCCAAATCCTACATTTGGATTGTGCTTCTGTTGAGCGCATGCCACAAACCATTTGATATTTAGTGGGATGAGGTTCTGTTAACCCTCTCACCTAGCAACTAAGTCACTAGAAATCAAAAACCTCGTAGTCCTGCACCCTGCCCATAATGGTTGCCCAGTAAGTGCACACTCAATGCAGTGTCTCAGAAAAGCTTGCTGTATTGTTTCTATGGAGTTCAAGAGACTGGGTTTTCCTGAGTTCTGGGAGCAAAGAAGTACACTGTGGCTGAAAGAAGACAAACCTTTAGTCATCCCATTAGTTTCAGAGGTGAGGAAACTGAAATCTAAAATGCTGAACATTTGTGTGAGACCATGCAGCACTTAGAGACAGATGAGCAGGAGAGCCCTAACTCCCAGTCACCACCAGGTGAAGATTCCTTCCACTCCTTGTTTAAAATCAATTCCATGTCAGTCTTCCCATCCAGAATAATCCCCCCTACTTTTCCAACCTGCTGAATTCCAGGCTGGTAGCAAAAGTGCAAGCCAGGAGGGGACAGAGGCCAGGCACAGCAGGGAATAAATATATCCCAGGCCACTGTGCTCTGTGTGCCAAAGCTGAGTTTTAAAAATCTATGTTGCATACTTTCCAGTAAAGTAGATGATCAACAATTCACCATAAATTAATATTTTATTAAAATACTTGATGAGGCTTCAAGTGATTTAACATTTCAATAGTTAGCCTATTAATTCTGCAAAACATTAAAAGTGGATTGCCACTTTCTTAATCTACCACAAAATGTAAATTCCTATTAAAATTACAGGGCCACTTTGGTTCTAGGATATTTTTACAGTGAGTCTCTTTGTAAGAGACTGAGTTATTCTGGCATGGGGACTTCTTGTTCCCAGCATTAATAATGCAGAGAAAATAGACTGGCGCATCCTTCATTTGAAGCAGCGACCTTGTCTTCAGTGCCATTCCTCCGCCTCTTCTGACTTGCGCAATACTCAGGTTTCCCAGAAAGAGGGATTTTCAGGGCTAACATAGGTCTCAAGCAAATTGGCTGGTTTCCTTTCTAAGGAGCATGGTTTGGCAAATAGAGATCCCTGCTCTGGTTCTCTAGCCTGATCTCTGGGCAAATGCAAACATGCTTTTATCATCTGAGATAGTAATGTGGATAAACCAAGAAACTAAGTATCTAGAAAATAAAAATGCATTCACATGCTAATAACATGCATCTTTGGGTAGTAAAAACATGAGTGACTTTTTTTCCTTCTCTTTTGTGTTGGTCTATAAATTTTCTACAGTGAACATTTCTATACCAGTAAAACCAAAAACTTCAGTTTATTTTTATCTATTTTTTATTATGTATTTTGGTACAGGGAATACAGGGTCTCATTACACAGATCAGACTTGTAGTGATCCTCCTGTTTTCAGCCTCCCAAACTCTGGGATTACAGGCGCGTGTGACCACGCCCAATCTCAGTCCTCAGAGGACCCTGGGGGTGGGGCTGGCACGCCAGGGATCAAACCCAGTCCCTGTGTCTATCTAAGCAGGTGTTTTAGTCTGATGAGCTATCTAACTGGCCCAAAAACTTCAGTTTAAAATGTTATGACAGAAAAAGAATAAATAAAAGATATTTATGTATATATACAGGATAACTTAGATAACTATATTGCTGATTTCTGCTTGTCTACTGAAAGAAACAGTTAATGCTTAATTTTTTTCTTTTTAATTTCTTAAAATTTTTTCTTATCAATTTTGTATTCTTATATCTGGTAATCTAAACAACTAATTTGAAGACAACATTATGCAATACAACATCCATTGTCAAATTCCTATTATTATGTTTAGTGAAACTCTGAATTGTTTTTAATTTTTTTTTACTATTTTCTATTCCCTTTAAATAATAAGAAAAACAAAATTTTACCAGAGATAAATATATAAGTACTAGATAGACTAGACTGTATAACAGTTAGGAGTCTACCATATTCATGACGAACACCCTGAAACATGCTTTCCAGAGAAGAGGCTCAATTCTGACTTCTGGGTGGATTTCATAAGGCCATCATTTTTTTTTCATCTCTAGGTTTCACTATCTGAATATTCCTAAGAAAACACACTGAGGACAGGTTATGCCTGCCAGACCACAATGCTCTCTTCAGGCAGAGACCGGTGCTTGGTGCTGACCTTTCTTGGAGGAGAAGCTGATCCAGAGGGCTGGGAGACCTGGAATGCTGGCCGTTGGTGAAGGAAGCTTCCGGGTGGAAATCAGCATCCCCTTGGTTACAGGGCGAGGACTTTCCAAACTTACTTGAGTCTAAAGGAGATGGTGATGTTTTTGGCAAAATAATCCGTTCATCTGGCTCTCTGATAACCTGAATGACAGTGTGCATTATTCTTTAGTTATACTTTTTGTTTCATTTGGTTTGTTTGTTTTGCTTGGCTGGGCTTAAATTAGAGCTAGGGGTCAGGTAGAAGGAAAAGAAATGGAGGTAAGATGATATGATATAGGCCCCAGGGATCTCCTGCAAATAAAGGAGGGGCTACAGCACAGAGGACTAGAAACAAAATGCTCAGGAGTTGAGGTCAAGGAAAAATAATCAAAACTCTGTACATTTTGCATATAGTAATTATCCAAATTAACTTGTGCTCTGAGCTTGGATTCTGAGGGTGGCAGATTATTGGTTCTAGGAAAGGATAATTTTTAGCAAAATATTTAAGTGCCATGGTATAAGAAGCATGGTATACTCCATTTTCTTGTTTTACACCTATTTTCACATTGTATACTGTAATGTTGACAAAGCTATCAAACTTCAAAAACAAGTCATTTATCACCTCTGCGTACATGAGGCGTCCCAGTAGAGAAAAGCAGTGAGAGTCACTACTGATAAAGTAGGTATTAGGCCTAGATGCGCACCCTCCTTGGTAATTCATCCCACAAATGAAAAGAGGGGAGCAAACCGACAGGCCCCAAAGCAAAGTACAGTTCTTTGTACAGGCCCTAAACTAAAGCTGTTCATGTAAACAGCATTAGCTAGAAATAAACTTTCTACTGCTGACTTCAGAATGCACAGTAATTGACATATAATAACTGCAAATAAATCATTCCACAAATGCTACTTCTAAAATTACCTTTACGTTTGCTGCAAGGCTGTCAAGAGAAGAAGCTAGAAGAAAGAGGAACAGGTGTTTGAATGACTCATTATGACCAGTTAGCCCTAAAACTGCTGTTGCATTTGTTCCACAGCAGTACAAAAAACATGAGACAATGAATGAATTTTTTAAAGAACCTCAATGCTCCCTTGCAAATTATACGATCATTATTAAGTCTCCCTTGAGTCACTCCAATTCTGAGTTGTTCTACCCTCTTGAGATCAACAATGGGGTTTTATTTTTAATTATGCCACAGATGAAAGGAGGCAGGGTAAAAGCAAAGCTAAAAGTGAAGCAGTAAGTTGACCACCCTTAAGCAGACTTAAAGCAGAAATAAACTAAATCTGCACAATGTGGCCAGGGCCTACAAGACAGCAATACAGATCTAATACAAAATGCATATGCTCTGCCTCTTCCACCCTTCTTTGCAGTTTTTGTAGACTCCTATTAATGCAGCAGCTCCTGAGTATATTTTTCCAAGGTAGACACAGATGTTACATTGAGACAAAGAATACATAAGAGCTTAGGGAAACACTATGCAGCAAAAATGAAATTGTTATGATTACCATAAATAATTATGAGACGCATGAAGACCTAGTACCAGAGAGCAGGATGGAGCCCTAGCAAGTGAAATAATAAAAACACACAGAGAAAACAGACATGATTGGGGGGAAAATGCTTTTTAAATAAGTATTTGTAAGACAATGATAAGCCCATCGTGGCACCCCCAGTATGGTTGGGGCTTAGGCAACCACAAAGGACTTTCCCTTGGCTGCTGATTCCCTCATCGCTGGCAATAACACAGACATAAAAATTGATTTTTTTAAAGCCTGGAAAATTTCATATCCTCTGGGTATACAAAACTGTGTGTCCATTTTGCCCCAGGAGTTCTCTTCTCTCCTGGCCTAAGCTGGGCAGCAGCAGTTCTAAGGTTCTCTGCAGCTATCACCACAACCCTGACTTCTGCCCTCGGATACCCTGCTACCGGTTTTGAGCACCCCCTCTCGTGGGAGAGGTGGCATTTGCTCCCTTGCTTCTCAGGCTGTAACCCATGGGACTGTAGTTGTCAGTGTCACCTGGAGGCTTATTAGAAAAGGACCCGAGGCCCCACCCAGCCCCACTGATCAGAACCAGGATTTAACAAAGTCCCTGGGTGATTCAGCTGTGAGAAGCACTGCTCTGTTCTACCTTAAGCCAGGATGAATGTGCTAACAGGTGACCTGGGCAAAGGTCTGGCCTAAAGGCTATAAGAATTCCAAGGGTCGGAGCCCAGAGGTCTGAATGTCACCGCTACATACAGGTATGCCAAAAACTTCACATGTGACCTGCACACAGATTGTAACCTCTCTGGAACCTTAGTTCTCCACCTACAAGATTAAGAAATGACAAAGACCAAGCCCAGCGTGATGTATGAGTCCCACCACATCCAAGTCAGCCTTAAACCCAACCTGTCCTCCCCCAAAAAGGACATTTGCTGTCACTTGATTTCACTGTACTAGGAAGGACAATACTTTTATAGGCTGCGTGGGTAATTTTTAATTCACAAAACTTAAATTAAATGTCAAAGGTGATGAAGCACTTTCTGCTTCGAATGTAATACTCTGTCCTTGATCAGCTACTTTCAAAGAGTCCCTAAAGCCTGAGAATGCTGGCTTTTGTTACTGCCAAGACTCTGTAGCCCTTAGAAGTAAAAACCTTAAGCCTACGTTAGGGAACTCTGTCATAAGGAATGGCCCAAGTCCTGTCCTAGCAGGAGGCAAGAGGCCACCATCATCCATTCCTAGCCTAAGAATCTCGGTTAGGTCCAGGAGTGATGAGCTTGGCTGCCACAGCCTTCGCTATTAATCCATTACATACTGCAGTCATAAAAGACCTCTGGGATCTACGACAACCCACTGACTCAGTGTGTGGTCCAGGAACTTCCCCATGGAGCCTCAAAATCTTTCAAGAAATCTGCAAGAACAAAATTGTTCTCATAGTTATACTAAGACATGGTGTGGCTTTTCACTCTCATTTTCTCATAATCTTAACAAAAGATATAACAAATCACATCATCCTCATCCTGATGGCTAAAATTGTGCTTCTGATAGTGCATTATATTTTTTTAATTCCTCTGTTTTAGTTTCTAACTTGCTATTGATAGGCATTATGCACATCATCAATAACAAAAAAATCTTTTGGGGATCATCAATAATTTTATGTATTTGGTACAGGGTTTTACTACACAGCTGGACTCACAGTGATCCTCCTGTTTTCAGACTCCCCAGCATTGGTATTACTGGCATGCGCCACCCTGCCTGGAATCAGTGGTTGGCTCATTGTGCCCGAGGGCAGGGATGATGTGGCATGTGGTATAGGAGATCAAACCCTGGTCCCTGAGCTCGCCTGAGCAGGCACTTAGTCTGCTGAGCTATCTCACTGGCCCAATAACATTTAAAAGGGTCCTGCAGTCTAAACTTTTAAAATTCCTTCCTTTAACATAGCTGTTTCAGTTAGAATTGGCTTCTCTCCTTCCTGACATAGAATCTTGGGTAGCACACATTATGTCTCCTGATGGCCATCAATCTCCTGACCTTTCCATTCAGAAAGATGGCAAACAAAATAACTGTTAGCTGTCAATGCTGCTTTTCCAAGGAGGCTGCACCAGGTCAGCTGCCCTTGGCTCTCCAGCCCAACCAGGGAACAGCTTCAGCCATCACATCCTTACTCAACAGCAACAGTACCCAGCACAGCCCTCTTTAGTACTAGGTGATCTTTCCAGTAGATGTCTTCTCAGCTGCCTCTGTCCCCTGGGAATTCCCCTGGGGGCACCAAAGGTGGAGAATCTTTGGGAATTAGTCACACAGTTTTCAGCATAACTTTGATTTCTCAGAATCAAAGGCAGTAAGTAGGGTACACCGGTTCCCAAAAAGAAATGTACCAAGATAGCAAGAAACTAAAGTACCTCTTTTCATCGGAAGTGGAAAGTTTGAAAACTTTGATTTTCTTTTAAATTTCTGTGGGTGAGGCTCACCAAAGGGCTTGGCACTGTCCACCTGAAAGCAAAAGAAAGAAACAAGACTTGAATCTATGGCAGCCTGTATTACCCTCTCACTACCCATCATGTCTTTTCCTCCTCTACCACTGTGCAGGTCAGAAAAGAGAAGGTTGGAAAATAACCTAAACCATAGTCCCTAAGCAGGTTACATGTTATAACCAAGCCAAGATTCATCCCTATCTTCCCTGAGGCTTCCTTAGGCTAGAACATTAGGATATGAACTGGCAGCATAAAGAACTATAACTAGATATGCATTATATTCTAATACTGGTAGGAATCAAACACAGAGAGCAAGCAAAGGTCTATTTCATTTTTTTAAGAATGAAATAGAAATGAAATTCTATTTCAATTTTTTAAGACAGGAAAGAATACCATGTTTCTTGTCTCCCTGGCAGCAAGTGATTGCCACAGATGACATGGTAGTCCTTCATGACCCCTTCCAGACCATGTCTATATTCTCATTTCAAGAAATGCATTGATTGAAACTTACAAATTTACAAGTTTTTACACCAACAGATCCTCTAAATTTTAATGCTTCTACATAAGGGAACACTATATATCATCAGGAAATCTGGCTAAATAAAATAATTAATGAATAAAGTCACTAACAAAAGAGCTTGGGACATGGCAAAAACTAAGAATTTGCTAAATAAAAGAAATATCAAGCAAGTTCTCATTCTTTAAGAATTCCAACCATATCTTAAGGTTACTTAGTTTATAATGACAATGGACTAAAGTATTATACAAAAATTTACACAGAATGTAATATACTTTTTGTAAATATGATCTATTAAAATATTGTATTATGGGGACTGGGGAAATGGCTCAGTAGAATAAACGCTTGCCTAGCAAGCACAAGGGCCTGAGTTCAATCCCCAGTTCTGCAAAAGAAATAAAATAAAATATTGTTTTATGAAAAAAAATTTACACAGAATGAAATAAATCAGACCATCCAATAAACTCAAATCAACAATCCCGATCATGCCAGGCAGGCCCCACCCCGGGGTGTGCTGAGACAGTGAATGAGACTGGGCGTGGTGGCATGTGCTGTAATCCCAGAGCTTGGGAGGCTGAAGAGCAGGAAGGATCACTACAAGTCTGATACACTAAAACAAAACTCAAGTCAACAATATTTTTATGGAATCATGTTTAAAAAATTTTGCTCAATTTTTGCCAGACGTCTTCACTTAGGCCACAAAGTTTTCTATTTCTGTATCTATGAATCAATAGTATCTGCAGATACTTATTTGGTAGTTTCTAACCAAAAAGGTCTGTTCTACCTAAAAATCAACTTTTTTAAATTTTTCTAGGTACTGGAGATTGAACCAGGGTCTTCATACTGAGCTACATCGCCGCTTACACTACTCAGGCTGGGCTCAAATTTGTGCTCTCCCACTTTGGCCTTCCAGAGTTCTAGTGCATGTACTACCAGGCCCAGATCTAATCAACTCTCCATATACTTACCTGAAGGGCACCTTGACTTTGAGACTTACATGCCTCATAGTCTGTTTAAATGCATAAACATCACCACTAGTGACTTTAGGTCAAACTATCAACTTGACATGCTATCAACAGTTAGTATTTTAGAGAGTAAGCTGCTACCTAGACCATGGAATAGTGTTCATGCAGAGTATAAAATAATATAGAAAATATTTTAATCAATAATTACCTGGACTATATCAAGAAGTATAGCATATACTGTATAACTGCAAATATATATACATATATATAGTTTAATTACAACTTCGTGGGGAAAAAACAAAAAAAGGTGAGGAAAATATATAGTTAGTCTATTATGCTGATGAGCCTAGGGATAATTTATTTTCTCAGACTTTTCTATATTTTCCATTACTTATGTAGTACACTAGTAAAAATATTTTTAAGAGATCTAGAGTAATGAAGTCTGTCCACTCTCTCCTATGAGCTAAATCTAAGCTACCTCTACTTAAGGGCTTTGAGTTTGGCATCATTACTTCTCCGTGCCACAAAGACACTTTCTCTCTTCAAAGTATGGCCACTGGGCACCAATCTCATTAAGAAAACTGGAGCAATTTTCTTCTAACTGGTGAAGTCTCAGCCTTTGTTATACATTTGCAACTCCTGGCAATTTCTCAACTCTTCTAAACAACAGTGAGTTATAAATGTAGTCATCATACTCCTTTAATAATTTTCCAAAATAAAAAATGAGGTGGTTGACATTTACTGAATATGTTCTCTATATGAGACACATTTATAGGAGCTTACTTTCTAATAAGTGAACATAGTTTAACAACAGTTATTATTCAATTTGAATTCTCTATTTAATATTACCCATTTGGCTTTGTGGCCTAACATTCCTTTATTCCACCCTGACCCACATCCTCACCATTACAAAGTACTCTGGAAAAATAACTTGAGACTCACATGTCTAACCACAAATGGAGGCCTCCTTTCTGCAGCGAATCTGAAGTCATTTCCAAGGTTCAATTCAGCCGGCTGATCCAGGAAGGAACATCTGGTGGAATACGGAGAGGGTGCCTGGGACTGCATGCCTTTGGCTAGTCTGTCAGGATTATTACCCTTCAGCTTCACGCGTATATCATTTAAGGGGAACGCTGGTCCATATGATGCTGAGAAAGGCCTTCGTGACTTGTATTTTTCCTCCTGAAATCAAAAAGAAAAAGAACTTTTAAATTTAAAAAATCAATCAGAAATATAGCTATATTCAATTCAACTTCTGAAAACTAATGCAGAAGATCAACCATCTCAGGTTTACAAAACATGAATTTAAGGAAGGCATTTCTCTGCTTAGTCTTTTCTCTAGTTCAATTTAATACCACCAAAACTTATAATAGTATATTATATAAGTGAGATTTATTTTAGGGAAAAGTTAGTGTGTGTCTCTTCTCTCTCTCTCTCTCTCTCTCTCTCTCTCTCTCTCTCTCACACACACACACACAAACACACACACACACACACACACACATTACCTGTAAAGGTATATGACATACTAATAAAGAGAAAATGTCCAGTCCAGTTAATGCCTAATATTTTCTCCTTTTCAAATTTTTATAATTTTTGATCAATTTTGCATGCTTATATCTGGTAAGCTGAGCAACTAATTTAAAGACAACAATATGTAATACAACCATTTTTGAATGCCTGTAAATTTACTTAGTGAAATTTCACATTGTTTGTTTGTTTGTTTGTTTGTTTGTTTGTTTGTTTTAACTATTCTTTTATTCTCTTTAAAGAGAGAAAATATCACAAACACTTGGGTCCAGAATTTTTTTTTTTTTTTTTTCAGAACCGGGGATTGAACTCAGGCCCTTGCGCTTGCCAGGGAAGCGCTTATTCCACTGAGCCATCTCCCTGGCCCCTGGGTCCAGAAATTTTACTCAAAGAATTTATTCTAATTAATAACTGTGGGTAAAATATAGCAATAAAAATGCTTATAGTAATTTTAAAAATAAGAAACCAAATGTTTCATTGAGTAAGCAAGTTGAGTCTCAGCTGCAATGGCCCCCTCAGCTTTATGATAATATTGACTGAGGGGTGCTGCAAACTCCCTTTTTACTTTTCCAGTCATTCTGCTAGCACTAAGAGGAAAACTGAGGCTGGGGAGGACAGCACTGGCCACTGCTGGCTCTGCATTCTGTTCCCACTGGCATCACCCCCAGCACCAGTTGGACAGGAGCACACGACTCCAGCTGAAAGGTCCCCCCACAATGCCAGAGCCAGCCTCACTGTGCCCTCTCAGACAATGGCTCTGCTGACAAAAACCCTAATGGGAATGTGGGTCCAGACCCAAAGGAAAACCTTCACACAAGTGAGCTGCTGTGGCACTAGCACTGAGCAGTGCTGTCTTTGGAAGTCAGAGCCCCAGTTTATTGGAGTTCCTCCGAATGCCTGAGGAAGCACCTAGGAAAGAGCCCTTCCTCATAGGTCCGGTTCCTGATTCTGCGATGTCACTTCAACCCTCTCCGCTTTTGGTGACCCAAGCTCTTTCTTCTGTTTCCCCAATGCTAAAGTAAAAAGCTGTACCTTGAAGTTTTTCCTTCTTCCTCCCTCTCTCTCTCTCTCTCTCTCTTCTCTCTTCCCTCTCCCTTCTTTCCTCCCCCTCCCCTTCCTCTTCTTCTCTCCCTCTCCCTCTCTCTTTTGTAGTCCCCTTTTAATGTTTCAGTCCTCCTAAACCTCATTTAGCTTTTTTAAAAACTTACATAATCTCTTTCTGTATTAGTATCAAGTACTTCTTTTTGGTTTCTTGACTGGACCCTGATGAATGTATCAGCTGCGCACTCAACAAATGAAAAACAACCAGCCTGCACAACCATGGCTCCTCCATGTACTACAGTACTATAGAGCCATACAACACCTGGTGGCTTAAGAATATTTAAGGGCATGGAAAATATTCATGACAAAGTAAGGGTACAAAATGACTTGTAGTAATATGATTCCTATCTTTTAAAACAAAGTGTGTGTGTGTGTGTGTGTGTGTGTGTACAGAATATGAGTCTGTACAAAAAAATTAGTCATGCTCTCTCTAAATGATAAGAGTACAAAATGATCTTTGTATATTGTCCTTTGTTCCTTGTATGTATTTTATAAAATAATATGGTACTACTGTTATGAGAAAACAAAAGTTATTTATTTAGAAATTAAAAGTTCGTGTGGATAACCCACTACTATTATGGACTACTACTGGACTATACTGGATTACTTTGCTGAATTCATGCACTTACAATATTTGAATGGCAATAGAATGCCCATCTCTGACAAAAGTAAATAAAAAGGGGGATATAAATGAAGGACCATTTTATAGTGAAAATATATATATACATATTGTATATTTTCCATTTTATATATTTTGTATATCTGTATATACAAAATAGTTAGCATGGGTAGTAGAGGGGCAGCATCTAAGAAGAACGCAGCCTTTTTCCCTGAAGAGACCAGAGTCTGAGAGAATGCATTCACATAGCCACATTCAGTTCCTGTCGGTCCTTCTGGCCTCACACACCAGATTCTTGGAGCCAGGCTCATCCTAGAAAATGACGCCCAGCAGAATCATACAGTAAAGGAGAAAAACTGGCTGTTCCATTTGGTGTGTGGAATGCGTGGAGCATCGCACTTGCTCCTGTCTGACAAATATCCTTATGAAGAATAAGAAACCATGTGACCGGAGGACAAACACCAGTGGAAGCTGGAAGCATGCCTTAACTGTAGGCTCAAGTTCTCACAGAGAAGGTGATCTGCAATCAGAAGACCAAACAACCATGATGGAGAACTTGAAAATGAAATTAGAACATAGAAGGAAATTGTTGCTTCGAACAAACAGCTCTGTCCAGACCGTCAAGGCGCTGTGGAATGGTTTTCTAGGAAATGAGCCATATTTCAAGTGCTCGGCAGCCACATATGGCAGCAACTCTAAGGACATCAGAGCCATTGAGTGCATGAAGCAGAAAAGCCCTGGTTCTACCTGCTGGAGGTGATGACTCAGGAAGCTGAGAGAAGAGAGGCCAACTAGAACGGGAGTGGTGAATCTTTCTCCTTATGTTTTTCAAGAGGAAAAGCCATAGTTTGATTTTTGTTATTGTTCCCAGCACTAATATAAAGAAAAACATAACTTTTGACTCCGCTACCCTTAATCTCCCCCAAAGTGACATTTCCAGATGTTTTTATGAATATATATATATATATATATCCAGAAGTGTATCTTTCATGTACTGTATTTTTAAAATTAATGAAGGGGAGGGGGCTGGGGAGATGGCTCAGTAGAGTAAGCGCTTCCCTGGCAAGTGCAAGGGCCTGAGTTCAATCCCCGGTTCCGCCAAAGTACTTGGACTTTAAACCACACCTGTCAATTCACTGTCAAAATAAAAGCTGGTTATTTAAAAAAAAAATTAATGAAGGGGGCTGGGTAGATGGCTCAGTGGAATAAGCGCTTCCCTGGCAAGTGCAGGGCCTGAGTTCAATCCCCAGTTCTGCCCAAAAAATAAATAAATAAATAAATAAATAAAATTCATGAAATAGTGAAAAAACAAAACAAAATAGTTAGCATGGATATACTGCTACTTTCTCTTAGTTCAATGAGAAGAAAATTTTGAACTAATAGTGTTTAGACAAGATATCATGTCTGCATCTTGTAGTGTGAATAACTACCACAAAGACAACAATATGCAATGTATTAACTATTGCAACTGTCTTACTAACCTGTTCTGAAACTGTCTCATTAGTATTTCTTTCTCAATAAAATTAATAAAAAACCTGATGGAGATTCTCGGGACCATTGCCTTGACCATCCTGTGTCTATCGATGTACGGTTTTGCCCCTGCCATGTTTCCTAGCTTTTCTCCTTGCCTTCTCTTTATTGTTTGGTCCCTAACTTCTTGCTTTCCACTTAGTTGTGTTATGCCTTTCAATTTTATTTCTTCTTTTCCTTCACATATAAGTAGATACACCTTGAAGATATACTCATAAGTGAAATAAACAAGACCCACATGTGTAAAAAAAAAAAAAACAGAAATGAAAAGTTCAGGATGGGAAGATACCTGGGTGGCATAAGCACATGTCTGGCAAACACAAGCCCCAAAACCGGGTTTGGTGGCACATGCCTTTAATCCCAGCACTAGAGAGGTTGAGATAGGAAGATCACTATGAGTCTGAGCTACATAGCAAGAACCTGTATCAATAAAAAAAAACAATAGTTTGTGTTTCAAAATTTCTGGGAACTTTGTGCTTTCAATGAACATTTACAATATGATGTGCACAAATTCAACATAAAAATTTGAAGATATATGTTAAGATGTTAAAACATTAAAATGGTAGAAAATAAAAAATAGACTAAATATTTACTATAAACACAAGTAAACTGGAGAGAACAAACACTAGATAAGGACAAGTTAAAAAGCAGCTAGCTAATGCTATCCTTAAAATTAAGTACTAGGAATTTTTCAGGTGCATTTAAGAACTCTGGTGGACTCTGGGCAGCCTGCAGGACTCTGGTAAGCGCCCCCAGTGCACAGGCATGGAGCTTCTGCTGGTGCCAGTTCAAACTTTTAAAAACTTAGGAGGCCTTTGAATGCCCTGCAAGATACAGTAGAGCTGGGATTTGTGGGCCCAGTACATGCAGGCATGGAGCTTTCCTGGTGCCATTTAAGAAGTTTGGTGGGCTCTGGGTAGCCTGTAGGACTCTGTCTGGGGAAGCTTCGAAAATGCCAAAACATAGGAGTAAAAGGCAATCTCAATCCTCTAGCCCACCCAGAATAAATCCAGGAGACAAAGACATACAAGAACTTGGAAATCACACACCTGAAATCTCTGAAATGATAACAACTGAAGTAAAGAAACAAGTCCATCAGGCTATAGAAGAAATAAGACCAGAAACAATCTCTCAGGTCA